ATCATCTTTGTCTTGCTGGCTGTTGGGTTGCACAGCTGGGCTAAGACATACTATATAAACTTTCATGCGCAAGAAATGGTATATAAAAAACAATATGTAATATCTAATTCGGTGTACCTCATAGATAATGTCTTTGTTGTGTGTGGTGGTGTGCTAGTTGCCAAGTGAAGCTTGTCCAGAACGCAGCAATGAGCGGCCTAGGGAGATGCGGGGTTTAGGGTTTGGGGTTTAGGGTTTAGGGTTGAGGGTTTAGGGTATAGGGTTCAGTGCTTGGCTGAGGGGTCGGGGTGTAGGGCTTACGCGGCTTTGGGTGTGGTGTTGTGGGGCCTGGGGTGGGGGTTGAGGGGCTGAAGGCTTTGGCCTATAAGAAGGGGCTTCGGGGGGTGATTCCGAGGCTGGCGTTCTGGGCTTTAGGGCGTTTTTTTTTCTTTTCTGGTTAAGGTTTTAGGGTATTGAGGGTTTAGGGTTTGGGGTTTAGGGTTTAGGGTTTAGGGTTTAGGGTTTAGGAATTTAGGGTTTTGGGGTTTAGTTTAGGGCCCTGCAGGGGCTTTTGCGAGTTCAGCGGGTAAGGTTGAAAGCCTCAGCCCTCGACCTTAAACTCTGAAACGCCAAACCCCAAACCCCAAACCCCAAACCCCAAACCCCAAACCCCAAACCCCAAACCCCAAACCCCAAACCCCAAACCCCAAACCCCAAACCCCAACCCCCCAACCCCAAACCCCAAACCCCAAACCCCAAACCCCAAACCCCAAACCCCAAACCCCAAACCCCAAACCCCAAACCCCAAACACCAAACCCCAAACCCTAAACCCGAAACCCTAAACCCTAAACCCTAAACAAACCCTAAAGCCAGTGTATGCTAAAACGATCTTTGCCTTTTGAAACAAGGGCTTACCCAAAAAACTTCCTCGAAACTCGTCGAAAGACTTCAAGAAGCCCCAAACCCCAAACCCAAAACCCTAAATCCTAAACCCCCGAACCCTGAACCCAAGAAGCTGAAACCCTAAACCCTGGGCCCTGAAAGTCCTCCTCCCCCTTGAGGGCCTCGCAAAAGACCCGGTCTCCAAACTGGACCCTTCCTAGGACCCAGAGCCTCCCCTTTGTTGTTAGGATTAGGGTTTTTCTTCCCAAGTCGATAAACCCTAAGGGTTTAGGGTTTAGGGTTTAGGGTCTAGGGTGTAGGGTTTAGGGTTTAGGGTTTAGGGTTAACCCAATTCTGACCCCGGAACCGCACACCCCAGAACCCCAAACCCCGGAACCCCAAACCCTGTTTCTACCTAGGCCCCGGGACCTACCCCCAGGAGGATTCAAGGTTACAGGTTTGTCCTAGATCATTGAGAATGTCTGCAGGGCGACAGGGGCGGAGACGCGCCTAAACCCCAAACCCCAAAACCCTTAACCCCAAACCCTAAACCCCAAACCTTAAACCCTAAACCCGAAACCCGGCCCACGGGTTGCGATGGTAGAGGCGATTGAGGAATGTGCAGAGTGGCAGACACAGCTTGACATCCTAAACCCTAAACCCTAAACCCTAAACCCTCAACCCTCAACCCTAAACCCTAAACCCTAAACCCTAAACCCTAAACCCTAAACCCTGGAGGGAACCCTAGAAGGCACCCATCATCTTGTTCCCCTACATAGCCATCATAGAAACCTTATATAGTCCCTATATGCCTAAGTCGCCCACAAAACGGGGGGTACCCCCAAAATAGGCAGGGAGACCTCCATGTGGTGTTCCCTGTTACGGTTGTAAATGCCCAGTTGCTGTTCGGTAGTATAGGGAGGGGTCGGAATAACTACTAGTATTATTCCGTTATGGTCCCTTTATAACTATACGATAATAACCCCCAAAACCCCAAAACCCCAAAACCCCTCAACCCCTCAACCCTAAACCCTAAACCCTAAACCCTAAACCCTAAACCCTAAACCCTAAACCCTGAACCCTAAACCCTAAACCCCATTCTAATTATTAAGGCCCCTATAGTAGTCAGCTCCCGACACTGGGCCAAGGACTCATCTTCCTCGATGTGATGCAAAGACCCTTGGCGACAGCATGATCGAATCAAGCCTTTGTGCCCTGAACGCTTTAGGGTTTAGGGTTTAGGGTTTAGGGTTTAGGGTTTAGGGCCAGCAATGTGATGCTAGATGGGGAGTTCTCTAATTTGTGATCGCCTCTTTGGGGTTCCGAATGAATAGGACTCCCCCCCCCCTTTTTTCGGTTTTTGGAGGGGTGCAGGGGTGTTTAGGGGTGTAGGAGCGTAGGGGTTTAGGGGTTTAGGGGTGTAGGCGTGTACGGGGTTTAGGGGAGTAGGGGTTTAGGGTTTAGGGCATCAGGATCCCTGCACCCTAAACCCTAAACCCTAACCCTAAACCCTAAACCCTAAACCCTAAACCCTAAACCCTAAACCCTAAACCCTAAACCCTAAACCCTAAACCCTAAACCCTAAACCCTAAACCCTAAAGCCTAAACCTCACTGTCGGTCTGGGGGTTAACACGTTTTTCTGTATTAGCATCGAAGGAACCGTCTGCAATGAGCTCGAGGAGGATAGCTGCCAGGAGCTGAGATGCCAGAACTTAGAGTAGGCCCTTATTCCCCTTTTAGTTTTAGGGTTCAGGTTCTAACCCTAAACCCTAAACCCTAAACCCGAAACCAGAAACCCGAAACCCTAAACCCTAAACCCTAAACCCTAAACCCTAAACCCTAAAGCCCAAACCCTAAACCCTAAACCCTAAACCCTGGGTTCAGGTTACCCTAAACCCTAAACCCTAAAGACTTTAAACCAAAAGAGCACACTTTTCATTCCCAGGTTCCGCTTGGGTCTAGGATGGGTTTAACTTTTGGGGTTAAGGTTTGTGTTTCGGGTTTCGGTTGTAGGGTTCAGGATGGAGGCTTCAGGTCTGCGATTTAGGTTGCAAGGTTCAGGGTTCAGGGTTCAGGGCTTAGGCTTCAGGGCGTAGGCAAGAAGATTCCGGGTTCAGGGGTCAGGGTTCTGGGCCCGGGGTTTAGGGCAAAGAGTTTACGGTTTAGGTAAACCCTAAACCCTAAACCCTGGTTTAGGGCTTATGGTTTACTTTCTGGTGCTTTTTAGGGGCAGGGGGTCGTGAATCAGAACCCCCTCTGCCCCAAACCCGAAACTCAAAACTCCAAATCCCAAACCCTAAGCCCTAAACTTAAAACTCTAAGTCTCCCAAAACCCTAAACCATAGGGTTTGGGGTTTAGTTTAGGCTTTTTGGCCTAAACTCCTGCTTTCCCCCAAAGCCCTAAGCCACCGCGTCGCCACGCCGAGACCTTTCCTGCAACGAGACGCACGCAATCTGGCCGTGGCCGCAGAGAGGGAGCCTGCAGGATGTCGATGAGGCGCATTTTAGGGGTCTAGGGGTTAGGGGTTTAAGGTTCAGGGTTTAGAGTTTGGGGTTTGGGGTTTAGAGTTTAGAGAGATCTTGGTTTCTAGTATTGTTTTCTTAGGGGTATGATATTTAGATGTTGTGTAGGGTTCTTTTTGGGCATCTCGTTTTTTTTCTTGAGGGCTTGGAAGTGGAGTCGAGTGCAAACACCGACAGTAGAGCAAATGTGCAGCCACAGTCTTGTTGGCTGCTACCTTCTTTTGGCCGCTAAGCCTTAGCTGCATCAAGTTATGTAGATCTCAATGTGTAGAACTGGCGGCGGGGGTTAGGGTTTGAATGACGGCCGGGGGGGGGGGCGAGGACTGCGGCTTCTGAAAAAGGGAAAGGACTGGGCGGGGGTCTCCGCTGCATTTTACGGTGGAACAAGCAGCTACAAGAGAGAGAGAGAGAGATATGTGTATATACATATATATATATATACATATATATATATATATACACATATTGCGACTTGAAGAATGAACATGCATATGTATACTCGTACTACGTGGTCCGAGAACTTGGAGTCTGTGGGTTTCGGGTTCCCGGGTTTGAGCAGGGTCTCTGAATATGCCTGAACGAGAGTGTGTTCTCCACTCCGGCACCCTAAACCCTAAACCCTAAACCCTAAACCCTAAACCCTAAACCCTAAACCCTAAACCCTAAACCCTAAACCCTAAACCCTAAACCCTAAACCCTAAACCCAAAACCCTAAACCCTAAACCCTAACCCCTAAACCTAAACCCTAAACCCTAAACCCTAAACCCTAAACCCTAAACCCTAAACCCTAAACCCTAAACCCTAAACCCTAAACCCTCACAAAAAACCCAAGCCCTAAACGACATCCCAAGCCCCTAACACTCCAAAAGCCCGAACCTCAGACTCTCATGAACTCCCGCAGCCTTTAGCTCTACGCTTTAGAACTCGAAGGTTTGCGTGTCGATGCTTACGGAGTTTAGGGTTTAGGGTTTAGGGTTAGGGTTCAGGGATTCAGTTGTGGAGGCGTTCCGGAACTCTGTTCATCGCCAGAATGCCCCGTGGACTCGAAATTGGCTCAGCTTGTGCTTGGTGGTTTTCGGGGCCTTTAGGGTTTGGGTTTTGGGGTGTTGAATTAGGGGTGCTAAGCCCAAAGCCCTACGCCCTAAGCCCTGAGCCCGAAGCCCCAGCCCTAAGGCCTAAGCTCGAAGCCCGAAGCCCGAAGCCCTGAACGAAGGAATGACTTAGATCTTGAGAGCTTGAGGCTTGGCTTGAAAGGGTTGGTTGAATGGCTCAGAGCTCAGGGCATAATATGGGTATCTGTCACGGTTCCCCCCCTCTCCCCTGTGGTGCGATGGTGGCCCAAGGGGGCCCTGACCGCCAACATACCGGGCGTACGACTTAAACCCTAAACCCTAAACCCCAAACCCCAAACCCCAAACCCTAAACCCCAAACCCCAAACCCTAAACCCTAAACCCTGGGGGCCCTTTGTTGTTACTGAAAGACATTTCATTACTCACCATTGTTCGCTCATGGCTCAAGAAAAAGGCGTGTGCACGTTTCCCTAAATATTGGGGCTGTCTGCTGGTAACAATAGGTTATCAGCCGTAGTACCACGCTAGTTTGACCACTCTGCGATGACGGACCAAGCTCCGCTAGGTCCTGCAGGCATACCAGTCCCGGACGACGGAGCGAGCAACCTGAGCATGTCCTTTGATGGTAATGCTCCAGGTGAGGACGCCGCTCCCCGGCTCCCGTTGACCACAACGGCACTAAGGCTACACGACCATAGGCTCTTTCAGAAAGGTGCAGTTTCCGAGGCCGGTGTCACCACCGGTGCCTCGAGTCGTCAGACTGCATCCGCGCCTTGGCAGGTTGTGTCCCCTAGTGCCAGACAACCACCGGCCAGCCTTCCGATAGCAGCCGGAGGAAGCTCATCCCAAGATGTTAGTCCGTCAGCTCAGAGTCTTTTCCAACCGACCTCCTCGACTATGAACAGTTTGACAATCGGCGATCAGCGAATCCTGCAAAATCAAGCAAACATTAGCAATGTGTTTGTTCAGAACGACAGGTCGCCGTTACTCGAGCAAATAGCTGAACATCGCCACAACCAGATCATTGGTCAGATCGCAAACAATTTTCAGGAGCAACTTCAAGCAATGGGCATGAATGTCATGTCGGGAGTGTCGCAACTTAGAGTTGAACTTGCTCAGGCCGAAACCAGATTAGGTAGTGAGGAAACGCAGGCCAGACAGAGATTGGCAACAGGTCAGTCGCAGCTTGACTCGCAGGCCAATGAAATCAACGTGGCACGAGGTGAAGCTCAAGCTTTGGCCCAAAGATTATGCGCTGCTGAGAGCCACGCTGACGCTACCTACGCTAGGTTGCGTGATCAACTTCACCAAGCGGAAGCTAAGGCCGTAAGCAACGCGGATCTCCTCAATGCTGAAATGGACAGTGCCCGTGTCGCCGCTGCTCAGGCAACACATGCAGTTCAGGCGACATCTGAGGTCGAGATCTCACGCTTGACTGCTGAAGTTAGGGATTTCAGGGTGATGATGAGCCATGAGTCAGAGAAAAGAAAGATGGCTGAAAAGGAGAACGCTGAACTGAAGTCGCAGCTAAACCAGGCCATAGCAGCTCTGCAGGCTCATGCAAGCGCAACGGGGTCCGCCCCATCTGCGCCACCGGGTCTGATCCCTACCTATCCCATCAATACTCCGCCTCAGGACGCCAAAGGGTCAAGGCCCCGACGCCACACTGACGGGGGAGGCCCCGATGGAGATGATGATGGCAGCGATGATGATGACTCGAGCAGCAGTCATAGAAAGAAAAAGAGCAAGAAGAAAGACAAGAAAAGCAAGAAGAGGGATTCCAGTTCCTCTTCTGATCTCTCGCCTAAGCAGCTCAAGGCAATCATCAAGCAACTTGCCAAAGGAAAGACTAACGAGAAGGAGGAAGTTGATGAGGATGTTAACAAGACCAAATCCAAGGAGGCCGAGAAGATCCTGTTCCCCAAGTTCCCGACACCTGAACAGTACAGGAACTGGCGGATTAGGGTTCGTGAAGCTGTAGTCACTGTAGTCGCAGCGTCCAATAAGCCGGATGAAGCTTTTGAATGGCTTTCGAAGGTATGGGACAAGGACTCTAAGGAAGAGGAATTGAGAGACACAGGTGGTTTCTCCACTCTCGATGCCAAGGTCTTGTTGGCAGTGACAAATGTCCTTGAAGGTGACTTCGCGCGCCAAATGGACACCCTCAAGGAGAGGGAGGCTCACGCCGGGAGGCTAGTGAGGGGTAGACAAATCCTGTTTCTCCTTCATCAGCACTTTGCTACCAACATCCTGCGCAATTCCGTGTATGACATGGAAGACCTCCTTTCTGTGACGTTGGTAAACGAAAACCTTGTGATGTTCGTTAGGAACTGGGACACGGTGCTTTCGGGCATTCAGACCACCCCCGAAGACAAGGTTCTCGAACCGCTCTTTCATAGGCAGGTAAAGAAATGCAAAGCACTTCAGCATGATATTGCCATTTATGAAAGGGCTGCCGAAGGCTCCAGTGAAAGGTCGTTTAAATTTCTCTACGATGCCGCCAATAGCCACTTGAATCGCAAAAGGCTCGAGAGGAACAGGGAGCGGATTGCTAAGCAAACTGGAGCTCCTGTCCCTACTGCGCCTGCACCCAAGAAAGTACCCAAGGGGTTTTGCATCTCTTTTGTCAAGAATGGCAGTTGCAAGAATGGTGGCAGTTGTAAATACAAGCACCAGACGCCCAGCGGACGTGGCAGATCGCAGTCACCCGGCGGAGGCCGTGGGAGAAGTCCTTCTAGACCCAACTCCCCGTCAGGAAAGTCTCGAGTGTGCAAGTTCTACAAACAAGGTCGTTGCGACCGTGGAGAGAGTTGCAAATTTTTGCACACCGGAAAGCCAGGTGCCGCTGCCACACCCGACGGAAGTCAGAAGGGATCTGCGCGCCCTGACAAGGGCAAGGACAAGAAGAAGAAGAAGAAGGAACGCAAGGGCTCCAGGGCTAGCTCCAAGGGTTCTAAGGGAAGCAAGGGTTCGAAAGGATCACATGGCTCCGGGAACTCGAAGGGCTCAGCTCGAAGGAGGAGTGGCGGACCTTCTCTCCCTGCAGCAGTTTGCCTTCTAGGAGCAATGATGGCCGGCACGGCTTCCCAGGCCGACGCTTTTACTCTCCGGAAGGATGAGTCGTACTGGCCCCCTCAGTGTTCCACTGACATGCGTTTGGCGCTACCAGCAGTGTCGTTTGACAACAGCCCAATGTACATCAACTTCCCACTCAGAGATGGAGAGCTTAAGTTCCCTGTTGAGAATCCTCAGCGCAGGTATGACAAGAAGTGGTCTGTTGACTACACTCCCAAGCCAGACAATCAATCCACCAGAGATGCACTAATGGCCGCTCGCATGTTGAGAGCTACGGTCAAAGACAGTCTGGAGGACAAACCAAGCCGTTGCAATTATTGTTGCGATACGGAGTTTGGTTGCAACTTTTGCATTCCAAAAGGGTTGAGAGTGTCTTGTCCCGCTAAGGTTCAATTATCATCAGAGTCGCCACCCATCGAATGGATAGGTGACACAGGGAGTGCTCAGGATCTCATCTCAGAGCGGGAGCTTGTGAATCTGCGTCCGTACGAATCGGACTGCCCGATCAACATTTGCACTGCGAATGGACCGAGTTACGCAGGCACACAATGTGATGTAGGGATACCATCCCTCAACAGCATAGCCAAGCCTTATGTTCTCCCTGACACTCCCAATGTTCTTTCAGTAGGACAGAGATGTACGGATCTGGGTTACGACTTCATTTGGAAAGGATTTCAGAGACCCTATTTCAGGAGTCCGGGAGGTGACAAGGTTTTCCTTGATGTGAAGGATAACGTTCCGTACTTGAAGTCTTGGAAGGAAGGTATCGCTTGTCCTGCCCATGCAAGACACGAGTCTACTAGGAACGATACGGACAATGTTGTTGAGACCATCACCAACCCAGAACAGGTGGCCGCGCAACTTATCCAGGAGCAGGATTTCTCCCATCAGGCATGCTTGCGATTGCTGAAGGACTCAAACTTTAAGCAATCCAGGTTCAACAGGAAAGCCATCAAACCGAAGGACAGTAAGGACTCGAAGTACATGATCTTCGGGGCTTTTTCACATGGTGGGATGCAAGGAATAACCAATCGCACTCATTCCTACCCCAAGGTGATTAAGTACCTTCTGTCCTATCTTAAACATCATGGAGCGGATGGCCCAATAACATCGATTGCTGTCAATCAGAACTCAGGCGTTAAAATGCACAAGGATGTCAACAATCACCGTGAACACCTCAACTACACCATTGCAATCGGCGATTTCACCGGAGGCGAATTGTGGATTCACGATGACACCATCCGGAAGGATGAGCCAGGTTGCATCAACAAGATCGCCCCCACTGGTGCCAAACTGGGAGGTCGTTTGCGCAGGTCAAAGTCGAAGGTCATTTCCTTCGATCCGAAGACTTTCCATTGTGTCACTCCCTGGAAGGGCGAGCGTTGGAGCATCACGGGATACGTCAATCGCGCTGTGCACAGATTGGACTCGCATCAGCTAGAGAAGCTTAAGTCACTGGGGTTCTTGCTGCCGAAACAGAAGGACTTCCCTCCAGCTGTGCCTGCAGAAATCGATGAGGAGATGACTCTTTACGAGTTAGCTACTATGGATCCTCCAGCTCCGGCCCCAGAACCGAAAAGCAAGCCTAAAGTGAAGTTGAAGAAGAAGCCTGAGGAACCCTCAGACAAGAAGAAAATTGCCAAAGAAGCCTCCAAAGCCGAACCACCTTCGGATGAACCAGATTGGTCAAAAGTTGAGGGGTTATTGAAAGAAGCTGTTGCCCCCATCCCTTCATCTCCAGATGAAGAGTTCCTTGATGAAGCGGAACTGGTCAGGTCGCCGAAACCCGATTCAGGTGAGCCGAGCGTACTCCCTCCTCCTCCGGAAGGAGAGAGGCATGCTCCGGATGGGGATCCTGGTGAGGGTAGTGGTGGGGAAGGCAAGAGGTCGAGGCGCATTGAGAACTTGAAGAAGGAAGCAAAGTCAGCTGCGCATCTCATGACGCACCTTCCCAAAAATCCATTCTGCGATGTCTGCCAAAGAGCTAAGATGTACAAGCCGCCTTCGTACCAAACGGATGGCTGGCACAGCGTCGAAGCTAAGGCGTTTGGAGACCATATCACTGCGGATCACATCATCGTGTACCGTGATAGGGATACGGTTATAGAAGAATCCAGATTGGCCCTCGTACTGAAGGATGTTGCAACTTCTTTTACGTATGCCTACCCTTCAGCACTGAGGTCAGAGGATGAGTGCATTGCAGCATTGCAACATTTCGTTTCCTCCTCTGACGAGATAGGGGTATTCTACAGCGATCAAGCGAAAGAACTCATCTCTGCCGCCAAGTTCTTAGGTTGGAGACATGAACAATCCAAAGCGTATATCCATCAGTCCAACGCGATCGCAGAACGCGCAGTCCGCGCCACCACCGAGGGTACTAGGAGCAATTTGCTTCAGGCCGGGCTCTCGCATGTGTACTGGCCACAGGCTCTTGAGCATGCGTGTACCGCTGTAAATATAAGTAACCCCCATGGGGCGAAGTTTACACCATGGTTCAAGCGTTTCGGGAGTCAGTTCCCGGGAAAGGTCATTCCCTTTGGTTGCAGAATCGACTATTGGGTTGGACCCAAGAAAAAGCGCAAGAATTGTGAAAGGTTCGAGCCAACAGCCGAACCAGGTGTTTTCGTGGGATATCATTTTCAGCCTGGCATGAAATGGAAGCATGAGGTATTGGTTCTTTCACTGAAAGAGTTGAATCGACAGGACTTCCATGAATGCATCAAGCCCATAAGAGCATACCAGTTCAAGGTACCTGAAGGTGATTTCACTTTTCCCATGAAACAGAGGTATGAACGTGTGCAACAAGGTCTCGCGGCCGACGCTCTTGAGCGCCCAGCAACGGAGTCACTCCACAATCAGGACGCTGAGCTCTCCGCTGAACAGGCCGCCGAAGCTTCTGACGCCGACCGGAAGGTTGAGCCCCCTAAAATTCTTCACCCCAAAACCGGCAAGGAGATTCCTCTGCCGGAAGGTGGGAAGTACTATGATTCGGGGGGTACACTAGGTCGTCGGTACGGGGGGACTAGAGGATCTAGAAAGCCGGACAGCATTCCGAGCGATCTATGGGTCCGTCTCTCTAAAGCACAGAAGGAGAAGGCCATTGATGATGAGGCTCGAGAGCAAGCTTTGAGAGATCTTGAAGCCCGAGAAACTCCCTCGTCAAGTAGCAGCGCCAGGCCCTCTGCAGTAGCTAATCCGGTTAAAGATGAATGGACAATTCGGGGGGATAAGCTCATCCGCTTTCACTACTCTCCGAGACGTGAATTGTTCTCCCCTGATCTCACTGATTGTCCTGTTCCTATCTCCGCTCTTGGCAAAGAGAGATTGACCAAAATCATGCCAATTGGAGGTACGGACATCATAGCCGATTGTGATGAATGGCGTCATGTACGCAAGCGCAACAAGAAGCTCAGCTTCAAATGGGTTGGTCGTACTGAGTTCGACATCCTTACCAAGCCCCACACTTCGGAAGAAGCTGTTAAAGATTTCCCATGTATGCCTACAGTTCCCATGTCCAATCATCAACATAGGGACAAGATCCCTGTTTCCCGCGCTCTCACTGCCGAGCAAGTTCAGGAAGCTATGGCTATGGTTGCCAGGCCAGTAGGAAGAAAAGAGCTGTTAGCTGATCCTCAGGCCCAAGCTTCTCTTGACGTTGAATGGGAAAAGTTGATGAAGAAGAAAGCCTGGGACATGTCATCTGTTCGTGAATGGGAAGACGTCTCTAAAGAGGCAGCCAAAAGAGGAAAGAAGGCTCACGTTGGCAAGATCTTTGAAATCTGCGTGGAAAAGGGCAGTGAGCTTCCTAAAGGGAATCCCTTACGGAAGTTCAAGGGTAGGACCGTCTTTCAGGGTAACAACGTGAAGGACGAGAACAATGACACCGCTCTCTTTAGTGAGCTGGGCTCTAGTCCCGCCACCATGGAAGCGGGTAAGGTTCTCGACGCCTATGGCCATGCCCCCGGCCACGATGTGGAACAGGGGGATGGTAAACAGGCGTACACGCAAACGACTCTGAAAGGCGCTGACACTTGGGTCAGGCTCCCACGTGAGCGTTGGCCTAAGGAATGGGTCGGCAAGTTTAGGGACCCAGTCGTCCGCCTCAGATTGGCTCTTTACGGGCACCCAGACAGCGGGGGCTTCTGGGAACAACATTGCGAAAAGCGCTTACGAGAGGTTGGTTTTGAGCTCGTGTTTCCCGCTGCATGGCCATCTGTCTTTTATCATCCCACATTGAAGCTTTTGTTAGCCGTGTATGTAGATGATTTTAAGATGGCCGGACCAAAAGAGAACCTAGCCAAGGGTTGGGAACTCATCGGTTCTCGCATCGACATGGACACACCTCCTCCCATCGGAAGATATCTGGGATGTGAGCACTTGTCTCAGTCTTCATCGCTTGGAAAAGCCGATCATCCTTTTGCGCATGTCTTTGACAAATCCCTTCCTGACCCCGCTGCCAAACCTGCCACTGCCGCAGCCAAAGAAGATTTCACCGAATACTACCCTGAAGAAGGGATGGTTGTCCGACATCACGTTCAGCCCCGCAAGGCGTTGTTCAAGCCTCGCGCGGCGGAAGCCGTCGCACTTGACCTGAGTCCGCACAGACTCACATTGATGCGCCCTCTAGGTTCTGAGGCCGCGCCAGACGAGCTCTGGGACACGGGGGGTGCTAAGCACAAACGTGATCAATTATGGACAGGTGCTACCTATCTTGCCGCCAACGGTCACACCGAGCGTTCCGCAATGGCAGCCGTGAAAAAGATTAGAGACAAACTCAATGCCAAGAAAGCAGCCCGCAAACACGCTTTCTACGATGTCAATCAGTTGAGCGATCATCAGGGTTGTATGTATGCTAAGACCAGACAAGTTGTTTATGACATGAGTTCCTTTTTGCAGCAGGCCATCGACCGCTACAAAGAACTCACTGGTCCCGAGTGGCATAACCTTAAAAAGGTATCTACGCCCTTCTATGATGACAAAATCGCTCGCCCCACTGACGCGGAGGCTGAACCCAAAGGCAAGCTTGCTCCTATTGCGAGTCGTGTGCTCATGAAGTTGCTGTTTGCAGCAAGAATGGCTCGTTACGACTTGTTGCGGGCTGTCCAGGGTTTAGCTAGCCGGGTCACTAAGTGGTCTGCTGACTGCGACAAGGCATTGCACAGACTCATGTGTTACGTTGCGTCCACTCTTGACCATCGTATGACCTGCTTTATAGGAGACTCCCTTGATAAGTGTAAGCTCTGGCTGTTCGCTGATTCTGATCACGCAGGCGAACATGACAACCAAAGCACTTCAGGAGGTTTCCTCGCGTTGGTAGGACCCAACACCTACTTTCCCTTGTCTGCTTTTAGCAAGAAGCAAACTAGCACCGCGCTTAGTTCCACTGAAGCAGAAGTTGTGTGTGCGAATGTTACTCTGCGAGCCTTGGGTCTTCCTTCATCTGCACTATGGAGCGTGCTCCTGAATGCGGGGGGGGATACAGCTCCCAAGCCTCTTCGTAGCGATGTTGCAAAGCATGACTTCAAACCCAAATCTTATCCTTTCCAGGGAATCTCGGCCATCAACAAGACAGGGCGTCATCTCCTTGCAGACGGAAGGATTGTGGAGATTTTTGGCAAAAGTAGCTCTTTACCCTTTCCCGTTGAGCTGACTAGCCATCCTATCAGGGATCTTTGGTTGCTCCAAAAGGGGAAGTGGACTTTGCATCAAAGGGCGGTTGCTTGGGAAGAATTAGATGAAGACGAACGTACTCTGCCTCCAGATGACTTCGAGTATGGCATTCTCGTGTATAGAAGGTCCGCCGCAGAATACCGCCGCCACGCGGAAGCGGAGGCCATCCTTCAGAGGGAAGCCGAGGGCATAAGGGGTTCGGGGGGTGGTGTCGATACCGAGGTTGGAGTCACTAGGAAACCATGCGACTTCGGACTAATAATGTCTGTGCCTCATTCGATTCAGCCAGTTGTCCTAGAGGATAATCAGGCCACCATCCGCATCCTAGAGTCTGGAAAATCCCCAGCCTTCCGTCGTTCTGACAAGACTCAAAGAATCAATTTAGGATGGATCGCAGAGCAGTTTCGTAGGAAGCATTATGACCTTGCTTACATCAACACCAATCTTCAAGCTGCTGACATCCTTACTAAACCCTTTACCAATGCTGAAAAGTGGCGAAATGCCTTGCTATTGATGGGAATCACTCAGCGGAAGCTCGAGAGCCGTAAGGCTACTCCGGCCAGCGTTCCGCCGCCCGCCGTTGCGAGCGACTCGAGGCCCGACAGCAAAACAAAGCGGGTCATCATTGAGGTTTGCTGTAGTGATGACTCCATCATTGGGGAAATAGCTCATCATGAGTTTCCCGAATGTAAGGTAGTTAGAGTCACCGAAAGCATGGACCTTAACTCACCAGATACCCGTAGAGCCATCATCGACATTGCCAAAGAACACCACCGAGCTGGCGCTCGTGTTCTGACATGGGTTAGCTTGCCTTGCACTGGTGGCAGTCAGTGGACTAGAATCAACCTCAAGGTTCCCAAAAATAGAGAGGCTGTACTTGATGCCAGAAGAAAGTTCAAGAAGTTGTGGGCATCATTCGTTGATCTCTCTCAGGGCCTTGATAAGGCGTCCGTTGACTACTGTGTTGAATGGCCAAGGGACTGTGAGTATTGGGGATGGGACAATGTGAGGAAGTGGCTTGATAGGCATCCGTTTGTCTATGCCAAATTTGATGGTTGCAGGTTCGGATTGCATAACAAGAAGGGTATTCCCGTGAAAAAGCCGTGGTGTGTTGCCACTACCCTTCAAACAGTGTACCATCGTCTCAACGACAAGAAGTGCACTCGTAGCCACGAGCATGCTAAATGCCTGAAGGAATCAGAAAATTACAGTAAACCTCTTGCACGAGCTATTCACAAAGCCTTTAAGGAAGTGAACTCCTCTGCAGCGGCTAGATCAAGCTTCCCTGTAGTCCCAGCGTGTCCGGCCATCATCACCTCGCCGACCATGACCGAGTTTCTGACTGACGAGGAACGCCAGCAGCGTGTCGCGGAGTTCAAGCAAGCGCTAGTGGACCCCGACCGCCTGGCTGACGCCATGGCTGGCATTCTTCTTCCACCAAGTTTCAGTGACCTGGCGGAAGCTGTGGTTGAGCCACAGGATGATGATGCCGACGACGACTTATTTCTCGGCGCAATTCCCATCTACCGCTGGCGGGAGCTGCGTGAAGAGGACCCGTCGTCCCATTGGACGGTGCTTTACGAGCGATTCTATCGCAAGCACGGTGTCCGTGTGTTTTCGGAGACTGAGATTGATGCCTCCGTGCTTCGTGACTCCACCCTGGGGGGTTGGATACAGATCCTTTACCGACATGCTCAGGATCTGGCCACCCTGGCGTTTGGACCGAAGGCGGGCGGTGCAATCGATTCCACTAAGCACTATGACATTTGCCGCAGGATTGCCAATCTTAGCGTAGGCGCTTCCGACTTCCAGTACTTTGCGAAGACTTCGAGTCTTGTCGAGAAGCTCTTTACTCCTGCCCTTCAGCGCATTTCGCTCCCTCCGGAAGAGAGGCGACGGTTCTTGATCGTCGGAGACTCTTCCCTTGCGTTGTGCCATTACACGGGGCGGAAGCCTACGCGCCGTATGACCATTGAGCCGCTCATGCAAGACGTTTTCAGGAACAGTCCAGAAGTGGAGAGCCTAATCTACTCAATGAAGTGGGGGTATCACCTCGACCAGCTCATCGATGAGGCGCTCAAGCACCTTAACGAGGCGAGGGATCACCACCCGGAAGGGGCGGCTACTCACATCATTTTTGGATGGTCAGGAAACGATGTATGGGGCCAACACGGCTATCATGGCTACACTTGGCATCTTCAGAGCAAGTTCACAAAACGAACAGCCGAGGAGCTCGAGCAGATTGACACTTGGCCTGCAAAGCAGAAACTTCGTGTTGATCGGGCGTGAGAGAGAGCGTGCAAGCTCCTCCACCGGACTGACGTCTCGGGTGTGTCTTTCTTGATGGGCAGCCATCGCTCCTGTTTCTTCCCGGTCGGGGAGCTCTATGACAGGTGCATGAAGAATCACGCCTGAGATCTGATGAGCGGAGGATGCACCATCATTGATCCTGTGGAGCTCTACGAGCAGACCAGCAGGCCTGATGGCTTCCACGCTGACGCGTCGGATCAAAATCTGCAGAGCACCCTTAGGTGGCACGCGGCGATGCTCCGCGGCATTCTCACAGATTACCGCCTTCTCGCTGTTGAACAGCAACTCATCGCAAACCAAAAAGAGGCCGTTTTTCATGCACACTTTGTGTTGAACAAGCCCGAACCGTTCCTCACCGTGCCCCCTGCGTCCGGGAGAATCCTTTCCAAGATTGTTGATTCACCGGACCCACCTCTGGCGAGGGAGGCAGAAGAGGAGATTGTGTTGGCCGGCCCACTCCTGGCGGAGGCGGAGTACGAAGTCGTCAACGATGACTCGGCTCAGAGCTGCAATCCGCAGCCCATCACTGAGTTCGACTTTGCCAGGAATGACACCAGGCCCGGCGCAGGTTGTGTCCTCGCGATTGAAGACAGCGACCCGATCAATGTTGTCGCTGAGGAACACCTTGTCATGGCCAACCAAGCGGCAGAGGGTATCACGCAGGAAGAACTCACCGCGGTCGCGGCTGAAGAGGAAATTACCCTCCTTAGCCAATTCGTGGAGCAGGATGATGATCCCTATGAGAATGCCGACACCTACTCTTTGAAGAAAGCTGAGGTGGTCGCGCCCCCTTCTCCCGTGGTCGTCATCAGTGACCCCGACGCCCCTCAGCCGAGCGAGGCCGTTGCACAGGCACCCCTTGTCCCCAAGGCAAAGCCGAGGCCTCCCACGCTGCCGCGTTGGGTTACCGCTGATCAGCTCCCTGATTTGCCGGATGATTACCTCACGGAGAACGCCCGGGTCTGCTTGTCGAAGAAGATGTCCTTTCTCGCCCGGGGATTCGCCAATCGGCGAGCGCCAGAAATGGCGGTCCACATCTCAGCCAGGGACAATTCTATTGAATGGTCCGAATTTTTCGAGAAGTTGGGAATGATGTGGAGAGGCCTTCGTGTGGAGCACGTGGTGGACGTCCTCAAATCCACTCACGACAAAGTGCGGTTCGAAGTCAAGGTTGTCATTAAACCCGACAGGGAGGTCCAGCTGCGTGCCTTTAGAGCGATTCAGGGGCACGACGGCATACTCCTCTCGGAAGAGACGGACGTGATGGCACTGAACACTCACTCGTACCATCTGTCCCCTCTTTGGCAACCCAACTTGGCAAACAGGCCCAGGGTGGGAACCACTGGTTACACCAGCGAGGCCTTGAAGGCATGCCAAAATTGGCTTACCACGGCACGTTTCGTTGCTATATGCACTCCATTGTTCGAGATGGTCTCATCCCGGGAGGGGTTGCTGCAGATGGAAGTGCCAGCCGTTACTTCGTGATGATGTCCCCCGTACCGGCGTGGCAGAGGGAGAATCATGCAGGCGTTCGTGAAGATGCTGACATTGAATCTGTCATCGACCTGCAACTCGCAGCCCTGGAGGGCGTGCGGATCTTTAGATCCAAAGCAGATGCAATTCAGACACCTGACTGGATTTCCAACAGGTACATTGTTTACTGCTATGATCGCCACTCCCAGGTTCCCATCTGGCACAACCGTGTGTACGAGTTGCTCCGCGTCCGACTGCACAATGCGTGCAAGGATGTTCACGACGGGCGGGAGCCTCGTCCAATCTTCGAGCAGGGCCATTTGGACGATTGGTCGGAGGAGGGTTGCTACCTTGACTATCTCGAAAGCCTCCAGACCAGGCTCAACTTCCATGAGTACCGGCACTACATCACTGACATGACAAGGCCGTACCAAATCGCCCATGAAGAGAACCTCACGGTTGAAGATGAGATCATCAGGCTCGAGGACCTCAAGTTCGCCGACAACGCACCGCGGCCCGAGCCACTGGCGGAAGCCAAGTGGGGTTCCACGCTCAAGGTGTGGTTCTCCGCAAAGGGCATCCGAGTGGATCGAAAGTACCGCTCCGAGCTCGACCATTTCATCGTCCAGGAACTTGTTTCCTTTCCCTGGTTTTACTGCACCAGTTGCCGTAAACATTACATCGATGGAATGATTGAGTGCCAGTTCTGCGGCTCCAGAATCGCGGCTGAGAGTGACATGGCACATGTTGCTGAACCCAGCAAACGACGCCTGGAGTCCTCCCGGAAGGGACGGAACATCGACATCATGTCGATCGCCCCCCGGCCGGGGTTGGCCATGAACCGGCACCGCGCAGAGCGAGGAGCGCGCGAAGCACAAGATCAAAGTCTCCCCGCAGCAGTGCGCAGCAAGTGTGTGAGCATGAGAAAATCGGCAATGAAGAGGGGAGGCCAGTCGATCGCTGACGCTCTCACCAATCCCCTCGACGCCTACAATTTTGCGTCCCGTGGTATGGGTATCACTTCATTGGCCCAGCTGGACTTGTTCGCCCATTTGCACAATCCAGCACCCGGGGCTGATGCCAACGAGAGGAGAGCATTCGCTGGCACTCACCGGGCTGACGCCAGAGTCTCAATCGCCTATCGTCCGGGAGACGACCGAGTCTCATTGGATGAAGCTTTCTTTGTGGCCTTCCAGTCAAGGCTCTATCTCATTGACGAGATATCCATGATCATTTACGCCACCCAGCAGTCCCCGGAAGGGCGACAGAGACCTTTCACGATTCTCTCTTACGATGGTGACTTGTTCACACCAAGGGAAGGCACCGTCTCAGAAGTGATGGCGGAGATCAGCCGTTTCTTCCAGGATCAACTTCCCCTGAGCGGAAGCCGTCAGGATCCTGCACCACGCCACGTGGACTTGGCTCGATCTCTCCGCATCCCTGACGGGTTTGCTTGCCTCGGTCAGACCCAATTGAATGAGCTGCTCCGCGATACCAGGTTTTACCAGCGGTATCTGCACTCCAACCGTGTCGAGCCGGAGTGGATTCGTCCCACGAGAGCGTCCTCACTCGGAATGATGCGACCTCCTCCTCCTCCCACAGCTGATCGCAGAAGCTCAGCGCCGGCCCGTCGCCCAGCGGAAGCTGAAGGCTACCGCCCACCGACAGCAAAGTATGGGCCTTCTATGGGAGCGAGGGAGCGCACGCCGTCGAGAACTACTTCGAGGGGCAGATCTCCAGGTCTCAGCTCAGCAATGCCTGAGAGGCCACCGCCACAGCGCAGGGCGTCGACCCCGCGGCCTCCGCCAGTGCGACGCCCAGGTTCCCCTGGAGAGGTGCGCACATCCCGCAGACGCGTGGATCCCACTGGACCAAGCATGACGGAAGGAGAATGGTTGGCTGAGAGGCGCAGCCGAGTCGATGTCGAGATTGGGAAAAGGCTCAACATTCTCCAGGAGCTCTTTGCTGACCTTCCAGAGCACTACCCTTTCGACCATGATGGTGATCTCATCGACCCGACGCGGACGCGCTCGAGCACCTGGACCCTTCTTGACGGGTACTACTGGGCCATGCTCAAAGCCCGGGACGCGCACTGGGTGTCGGAAGAAGAAGTGGTGAACGCCCTTCCTGCTTGGGGAAACCCGGGGGGGATCGTCGTCTACGACTACGACCACGTGTTGTGGTATCTCAGAGGATGGAAACACCACGTCATGAATCCACACACTGGTGTGCAAGAGAGGCGGTACTAAGGCCTAAAAGGGGGCATGGTCAGGGTTGCACATTCCACCCTGACGGGTCGGATTCGCCGACCCAGCCTTTTTGAGCAGATTGTTTTCGTTCTTTGCATTTCTGATTCCGTCAGCCTACGTGTGTGTGCCCGTGTGCCACACTGCATCTCCTTCGCCGCTTTGACGAGCTGGCTACACAGTAGCAGTTGTAGTCAGTTTCTCTCCTCAGGGTAACAGGTGAAGAGCACCTCCCTGACGGGCTGGATTTATTTTCAGCTGGTTATGTGAGGTGAAATTTCCTCAAGATGCAGTCGTTTTGCGTACTAGGTACGACTGTAGCGAACATTGCTTGTCTTTCCTCAACTTTTGACGCCTCTTACGTTGCACTAAGTTGCGCGGGGGGTGTTGTTACTGAAAGACATTTCATTACTCACCATTGTTCGCTCATGGCTCAAGAAAAAGGCGTGTGCACGTTTCCCTAAATATTGGGGCTGTCTGCTGGTAACAATACCCTTAAAGCCGTGGGCAAGCGCTGGAGCCCAGAAACCCCAAGGCGGCGAGCCTCTAGCACTTCGGCCCCTGCGCCCCAAACCCGATACCCCCCCCAAGACCTGAAGCCCTACACCCCCCAAAATTTTAAAACCCTTTGCCGCCCTAAAACCCTAAACCCTAAACCCTAAACCCTAAACCCTAAACCCTAAACCCTAAACCCTAAACCCTAAACCCTAAACCCTAAACCCTAAACCCTAAACCCCAAACCCCAAAAACCCTAAACCCTAAACCCTAAGCACTAAACCCTAAACCCTAAACCCTAAACGCCCCCAAGCCCGAAGCCTTAAACCCTAAACCCCCCGAGGCCCCAACCCCAAGCCCTAAACCCTAAGACTCTGTTGAAGATCCCGGACAAGTTCAAAAACCCCGAATCCTCAAAAGGCCTCAATAATTAGGCTTTCGGGGTTAGAGCTCAGAGGTTTAGGGCGCTTTCGGGTTTGGGGTTTCGGCCCGGAAGCCCAAAAGCCCCAACGCTCTCACAGCCTGCGGCCCCACCCAAAAAATGCCCACGTCACCAAAAGAAAACCACGTTGGCGCGGTCTTGGTCAAAGGGCAGCTACAGTCGGGTAGAAGACCCTTAAACCTGTTAAACCCCCCCAAACCCCCCCAAAACCCCGAACGCCCAAGAGCCCTGAACCCAAAAGCCCCCCTAAACCCTAGCCCCAAACCCTAAAGCCCCCCTAAACCCCTAGCCCTAAACCCAAAAGACCCCCTAAACCCTTAGAGCCCTAAACCCAAAAGCCCCCCTAAACCCTAGCCCCAAACCCTAAAGCCCCCCTAAACCCTAGCCCTAAACCCTAAAGCCTCCCCAAACCCTAGCCCTAAACCCTAAGAGCCCTAAAGCCCCCGGAAGAGGTTTTCATGGTGCCTTGTGAGGATGTCCTTCTCGTGCGAGTTCCCTTCGATTTTGAGAACCCAGATTCGCCCCTGGGGCTGGTTTAGGGTTTAGGGTTTAGGGTTTAGGGTTTAGGGTTTAGGGTTTAGGGTTTAGGGTTTAGGGTTTAGGGTTTAGGGTTTAGGGTTTAGGGTTTAGGGTTTAGGGCTTAGGGTTTAGGGTTTAGGGTTTAGGGTTTGGTTTAAGATTGGGTTTAGGGCTTAGGGTCTGGGGTTTAGGGTTTAGGGGTTGAGGGTTTAGGGTGTAGGGTCAGGGTTCGAGACTTTTCGGGGCTTTAGGCGTTTTCGGGGTTGGGGATTTCGAATTTAGGGAGCTTTAGGGTTGGGATTGTCTTGCTGGTCTTGAGATTTCGGATCCCTTTTTGAGGGCGTAGGGTTCAGATTGCAAACACCCGCAAGCCCGAAGCCCTCAGCCCTAAGCCCTGCACCCTAAACCCTAAACCCTAAACCCTAAACCCTAAACCCTAAACCCTAAACCCTAAACCCTAAACCCTAAACCCTAAGCCCGAAACCCTAAACCCTAAACCCTAAGCCCGCAACTCCGGGCCCGGAGAGCCCTAGACGCCGAAGCAGAAGTGTTCAAGAAGGGTGTAAACCCTAAACCCTAAACCCTAAACCCTAAACCCTAAACCCTAAACCCTAAACCCTAAACCCTAAACCCTAAACCCTACACCCTAAACCCTAAACCCTGAATAAACCCTAAACCCTGAACCCTGAACCCTAAACCCTAAACCCTAAACCCTGAACCCTGAACCCTGAACCCTGAACCCTGAACCCTGAACCCTGAACCCTGAACCCTGACGAGCTCCTAAAGCAATGCACCTTTGGAGGTTGGACTCCTTAGAAGTGACCTCCTTAGCGCTGCTGGACGTGAGGTTTCTGCAGGCGGCTTTTCGTTGTCTAGGGTGAAACCCTAAACCCTCAACCCTAAACCCTAAACCCCAAACCCTAACCCCTAAACCGCTGTTACTTGGGGTTTAGGGGGTTTGTGGGTCTAAGGATATTGGCTTCAAAGTTGAGGTCTCGCAGGGGAAGTTTGAGTTGAGTTGAGCTGGTCGGTGGGCACCGCAGGGATTGGTTTTTGAGTTCAAGCCCAGTGCTGCTTGGGGTTTAGAGCCTCCGGAAACTGAGCACCCCAAACCCCTAAACCCCTAAACCCTCAACTCCTGAACCCCACCAAACAAAGAACAGAAAAAGCAAACATCCTAAGCTTTAGGGCAGTATGAGTCCCAAAACAAGAACGCCTCACCCCTTCGTTGTTTCTTTGAAGGGTTTAAGGGTTTACCGGGCCCTGTCATGCTTAGTCCAAGCCCTGCACTCTAAAGGCCCTAAAGTTCATCCGCGCAAGGGTCTGTGAAGCGAAGCGCTTCCAGCGGCTAAGTATCGTGGAGGATTTGCCTATTGTTACTATTACTAGTCTACTGATTATTATTGTGATCATATGATTGGTTCGTTAGTCTATTGTATTCATATATATATATATCTATATATGTACATACAGATATATATATATATATATGTGTATATGTATATATGTATATATATATATGTATATGTATGTACATATATATATATATATATAGGGGGGGGAAGTCGGGGTCTTGGGGTTTGAAAGGTTTGGAGGGTAGAGTTTGGTTTACTTGGGTCTTTTTAGACTGGCAGCGGATGGATACGAATTTGAAGTTTCACATCAGCCAGGTCCACCTTAAACCTAAGCACCCTGCACCACCATCCGCAAGGCATCAGGTGTTTACAGCTTAGGGCTTAGTGCTTGCAGTTTGGGATCGTCGTGCCGGCAACGAGGCCTGTCCTCATAAATGCGTTTCAGGGTGTAGGCAGGGATTTCCAAAGCGAGGACTTTTCGCCTGAACACCGAAGTCGAGCCCCCTCGAACAAAAGTGCCCTCAGCCCTCAGCCCAAGGCTTAGAGTGTAGGGTGCAGGGGAGTGCTTGAGGAGTTTCGAGCCCTAAGCCCTAAACGTAAACCCTAAACCCTGAACCCTAAGCCCTAAACCCTAAACCTTATTGAGGGAAGCACCTAAACCGTACACGACCTAAGTGTCCGCCCCACCGCCCACAGGAGTACAACGCCTGGTTCTCCATCATCGTCACCACGACGGCGATCATCCTCATCATCGCGCGCGGCCCAGCTAGACCCAAGCAAGAAAGGCCTAAACCCTAAACCCTAAACCCTAAACCCTAAGCCCTAAGCCCTAAACCCTAAACCCTAAACCCTAAACCCTAAACCCTAAACCCTAAACCCTAAACCCTAAACCCTAAACCCCAAACCTACTGAAGCCCCGTGGCTCCAACTCTTGAAGCACCCCGATTCTTCTCAGTCGCTTTCCAAGGGTTTAGGGTTTAGGGTTGCGGGTTGAGGGGATTCTACTGTATTGGTCAGTGCATCCACCTGTACCCCCTGAACCCTAGCCTTTTTCAAGAGAGAGTTGAGGGGATTCTACTGTATTGGTCAGCTCTCCAGTTTGGGGTTCGTTTGGGGCTTCAGTTGTTGTACCGGAGCCTTGGATGTACCCCAAAACCCTACACACTCGACTGCTAAACCGTGATTCAAATACTAAGCTTCCTTGAGCAACCCTATGAAAATTGCAGAAAGATCCTACTAACTAGACTTTAGGGTTTAGGATTCAGGGTTCAGGGTTTTGGGCCTGACTAACTGTGCCAGGTTCAAAGGTGGTATCGGGGAATATGTTGGGTCACTGAGCCGCGACAGCCCCTTCCCCCCCCCCCCCCCCCCCCCCCCCCCCCCTAAGAGAAACCCCTTAAACCCTAAACCCTAAACCCACCCTAAACCCTGAACCCCAAACCCCAAACCCCAAACCCCAAACCCTAAACCCTAAACCCTAAACCCTAAACCCTAAACCCTAAACCCTAAACCTTGAACCCGAAACCCGAAACCCGAAACCCGAAACCCGAAACCCGAAACCCGAAACCCGAAACCCGAAACCCTAAACCCTAAACCCTAAACCCTAAACCCTAAACCCTAAACCCTAAACCCTAAACCGTCTGAAGGTGGGCATCTTCGCATTCACCCGGGAGATAAGCACCCTCTCCTCGTGGCTCGCTTCGCACCTGAGAGAGCAGTCAAACAGTCAAAATCAGTTTAGGGCTTAGGGTTTAGGGTTTAGGGTTTTGGGGAACCCCAACCCCTCAGTAAAGACCTTAAAAAGCCCTAGTGCCCCCGAGAGACTCTGCACCAACCCTATTACCAAGTTAACACCCCAAACCCTTCCACACCTAAAAGCGTTTGAGCCCCAACCCCTAAACCCTAAGCCCGTAAATCCGAGCCTTCCCAAAGTCTTCTGAAAGGGAAGCTCCAAATTGCGGTCTCCCCTTTCTTTTTTGGGGTCCGTTTTGGTACAGGGGGTGGGTGTAAAGTTTTTTTGATGGGCTTAGGGCTTGGGCTTTGAGATTCGATCACCCTAAACCCAAAACCCCGAGCCCCCAACCCCAAACCCTAGACCCCAAACCCTCCCGAACCCCCAGACCCCCAAAACCGGAAACCAAATCGGCACTGTTGAAGTAAAGGTCGCAGGTGTAGAACGCCGGGATCCGTTGTTGCAGGGGCTTGGGCAATGGATCCTGAGCCCAAAGCCCTAACCCTAAACCCTAAACCCTAAACCCTAAACCCTAAACCCTAAACCCTAAACCCTAAACCCTAAAGCCGAAACCCGAAACCCTAAACCCTAAGCCCTAAACCCTAAACCCTAATCATGCAAATTCTACTCGTTTTGCAGGGGGCTGCTGCGACCGATACGGCTGCTGGCAGATGACATGCAGAGCCTCGCTCGACTTCAGGGTATTAAAGGCTCAAGTCCCTTCCCTCCTAGAGTTTAGGGTTTAGGGTTCAACAGCGAACCGACCCGCCCCACCCCCTACCTCCTACACAATGCCGCGGATTCATATTTCTGACGTTCATTCGCATCTGAATATCTTATCTTGTCGGCTGTTGTAGCCTTAAAACCCTAATTACCTAAACTTCAAACCCTAAACCGGCTGCCCTTACCCACGAAATATGAAGTCCCTCTCTGAGTGCCCCCAAATCGAAACCCAAACAACCTTGAGCTCCCATAAACCCGCCGCATAGCCCGCCGTAACCCCATTCTAGACCCCAATCCTAACACCCACCCCAAAACCAGCTTATTGGGGATCAGGGTTTAGGGTTGAGGGTTAAACCCTAAACCCTAAACACCCTAAACCATCTCAACCCCAAGCACGCCCCAGGAGCGTGACCCAGATGCAGCTGGCCGGGCTATCGGGCGACAATCCCAAGGCTTCGTGCTTGCCCTAAACCCTAAACCCAGACTCAGCCCTAAAGCCCGAAACGCTAAAAACCCTTCTTGTCTAAGGGGGTGTTTCGGCCCGAAGCCCTAAACCCTGAGCACTAAACACCCTTAAGCCTTTCAGCCCTTGACCCAGGGGCTTCCTTTAGGGTTTCGGCTCTTTTGCCACGCGAGGCGGTGGCGCACTTTGACAAGGGTGTCGCGGAGGCTGGAACGTCCTCTCGGGTTTAGGTTTAGAGTTTAGGGTTTAGGGTTTAGGGTTTAATTAAGGTTTAAGGTTTAGGGTTTAGGGTTGAGGTTCTAGGGGTTTAGGGCTTGAGGGTGTTAGACTTTTCAGGCTTTAGGGCTGTTGCGGGAGTAGGGTTTAGGGGTTTAGGGGGTTTTGGACGTCAGGAATTTCGGGGCTTCAGGGCTGTAGAGCTCTTAAGGTTTAGGGTTTAAGGTTTTCAGGTCTGGGCTCTTTGGATTGTAGGGTTTAGGGGTTCGCGCTTTAGCTGTGGGCCCCAAAGCCTAAAGCCTAAACCCTAAAGCCACTACAATTACAACCCTCTGCGCCGACATGCTGAACCCTAAGCCCTAACCCCAAACCTTAAACCCTGAACCCTAAACCCTAATAGACTAAACTCTAAACTCTAAACTCTAAACTCTAAACTCTAAACTCTAAACTCTAAACTCTAAACTCTAAACTCTAAACTCTAAACTCTAAACTCTAAACTCTAAACTCTAAACTCTAAACTCTAAACTCTAAACTCTAAACTCTAAACTCTAAACTCTAAACTCTAAACTCTAAACTCTAAACTCTAAACTCTAAACTCTAAACTCTAAACTCTAAACTCTAAACTCTAAACTCTAAACTCTAAACTCTAAACTCTAAACTCTAAACTCTAAACTCTAAACTCTAAACTCTAAACTCTAAACTCTAAACTCTAAACTCGAAACTCGAAACTCGAAACTCGAAACTCGAAACTCGAAACTCTAAACTCGAAACTCGAAACTCGAAACTCGAAACTCGAAACTCGAAACTCTAAACTCTAAACTCTAAACTCGAAACTCGAAACTCGAAACTCTAAACTCTAAACTCTAAACTCGAAACTCGAAACTCTAAACTCTAAACTCTAAACTCTAAACTCTAAACTCTAAACTCTAAACTCTAAACTCTAAACTCTAAACTCGAAACTCGAAACTCGAAACTCGAAACTCGAAACTCGAAACTCTAAACTCTAAACTCTAAACTCTAACGCCTAACAAGAAGAAGCGGGCTGCGATTCATTTTGGGGGCGGTTCGGGTAGGAGGCCGTGTGGGATCGTGTAATCAGCGGGGTCTAGGGTTTGGGGTTTAGGGTTGAGAGTTCTTTTTTGGGGGTTTAGGGTTCTTGGGTTTTCGCGTTTAGGTTGCCGCTGAGACCCTCAAACCCCAAACCCCCCAACACCCGCTCCGTTGAGTGTGGATTGCGGGCAGATTCGCCTCATGGAGAGCATCTTCGACAAGACGCGGCCTGTCGCAACCCTAGGCCCTAGACTTAGGTGTAGGGTTTGGTCAACCCGAAATGCTCGTGCATTGTGCTGGCTTTGTGGTGAGCAGTTCGAACCACTGTGGTCACTGTGGTTTAACACCTTAGACCCTAAGCCCTGAACCCTAAACCCTAAACCCTAAACCCTAAACCCTAAACCCTAAACCCTAACCCTAAACCCTAAACCCTAAACCCTGGACATTCAGTACGAGCATGAATATTCAGTTGCTGGCGCTTGGTAGAGAACGAGGGAATTTGGCACCTGATCATCTCCCCCAAGAAAAAGCCCTTCAAGTTTTAAGGGAGTGTATGTGGTACCCAGCTCCCTTGTTCCCTACTGGGATGCCTAACAACTAAGCCCTAAACCCGAAGCCCTAAGCACTAAACCCTAAACCCTAAACCCCAAACCCCAAACCCTAAACCCTAAACCCTAAACCCTAAACCCTAAACCCTAAACCCTAAACCCTAAACCCTAAACCCTAAACCCTAAACCCTAAACCCTAAACCCTAAACCCTAGACACCGAAGCCCCCAGCCTATCCTAAGCCCAAAAACCCCAAAAACATCCCAACATTTCAGCCCCTCAGAGGCCCGAACCCGTCATCCTTGAGCCTAAACATGGGAATTTTCTCGAGCCCTGAGCCCTAAATCCCGAGCCCTAAAACCCTAAACCCTAAACCCCTAGACCCCTAAACCCTAAACCCCAAACCCTAAACCCTAAACCCTAAACCCCAAACCCTAAACCCTAAACCCTAAACCCTAAACCCTAAACCCCCAAAACCCTAACCCCACGGAAGAACTGAGCCTGCAAGAGCCGAGGAAGACGGCCATTCGGTCCTGGGGGAAGTACGTCCCCTGGCCCGTGGCCCGGCATGGAGAAAGGAGGGTGGCGCAGGGTTTTTGGGGGCTTGGGAGTTGGTCTTTAGGGTTTAGGGTTTAGGGTTTGCGGTTTAGGGTGTTTGGGGTTTAGGATTTACGGTTGGGCTGTGGGGTTGAGGTTTGAGGGGGTGGGGTTGAGGCTTGAGGCAGCAGGCTTGAAAGGCCTACCCATGGCTAAGGCCCTCGGCCCTCAAAGAGCCCCTCCAGTCCCGAGACCCTCTAGACCCTAAACCCTTCACCTCAAAGCCCAAACCTTGCAGGTGGGGATTCCAGATAACAGCAACCCTAAACCCTAAACCCTCAACCCTCAAGCCCTTAACCCTGAAAAGCCGAGGTGGTCCAGATCCTTTTGGCAGCAGGTGCCATCGGGGTTGCCACATACCACGTTCTACTCGCCCTAAACCCTAAACCCTAAACCCTAAACCCTAAACCCTAAACCCTAAACCCTAAACCCTAAACCCTAAACCCTAAACCCTAAACCCTAAACCCTAAACCCTAAACCCTTACAACCATTAAAACCAAAAAGGGCACCCTTTCATGCCTGGGTTAGTCCTGGGTCTCGTCTATGTGCCTCAGAGCCACTAACTAAAGAAATACAGATCTTCCTTATAAGGGCCATGTAGGATTGTCGTTCTTTTCATTCTTGTTTTTATTGGGGTGGGGGGGGGAGGGGGGGTTCTTAAGCAAGAGGCAAATAGATGTTTAGGGTTTAAGGGGCGGCTTCAGTTGCACCTCCAAGCGCATCGGGGGCTTAGGTCACGGCCTTGGGGCTTGAGGCAAGCGACAACATGGCAGCCGTTCGGGCTCTGGGCGCATCCTCAACAGCGATGATGCCGTAGTATTTCCCACGCATTCAGAACACGCCCCAACATCCTTGGTGTTTAGAGCTTAAGAAAAAGACCCGCGCAGAAAACCGAAAAGGTTGACAACGCTTGCCCACAAAAACAGACACACAACTCATTCTCTCTTTCGGAAATCGACCCACAGACCCTCTCTCAAACAAGAAAGAAAAACACCAAAGGAAAAACCATACCCCTGTGAGGATTCCTTGTAATCTAAGGTATATTCCTCAACTCAGAGGTATTGGGCTCTCTGTGCGGTTGCTTGATGTAAACATGGCAACTTCGGATGGCTGGTCAGATCAGGAAGACGCCGTTGTCGTTGTTGGACCCGCAGCCGAGGGTGGCCAGCTCGATGTGATACATGTGCCTGACATGGATGGGCTCGCCGAACGTGGCATCTTTGGACCCGCAGCCGAGGGTGGCCAGCTCGATGTGATACATGTGCCTGACATCTTTGGATCCGCAGACGAGGGTGGCGAGCTGGATGGGCTCGCCGAACGTGGCATCTTTGGATCCGCAGGCGAGCAGCTAGATGAGCTAGATGAGAAGGAACTGTTTGGAGATTACTCTGTAGATGACTTGCGAACATGGGATGGTCGTGCGAAACGCTGGGTCAGCAAGCTGCAGAACATTGACGCAAAGGATGTGTTTTGCTACAACATATTCCAGGACTTTCCTGCTGACGTCCTCCATGTATTCCTCATGCTGGTGGGACCAAAAAAGTGGTGGCTTTTCACCCAGTCGTCCTCAATTCTGCGTGACGTGATGGCGATTCAGCTGCCAAACTTACTGCTGCAGTCGAAAGACTTCGAGCGATCTGTTCGAGGAAGTTATACTGGTGTTGTGCGAGAGATGTTGGAGAAGGAGCCTGAAAAATGCGAAGCTGCCATTCGCTTGGCCCGCTGCCCCAGCGCTGGCATGCCTCTTGCCGACGACCACATGAACCCGAATGCAGATATGGTGCGTATCATTCTGAATGCCGCCCGAAGTCACCGCATCTCCTTGAGCACCGATGCGTTGCATGCAGTGTTTCTGCCGGTTGCTTGCCACGTTGGCGATGTGGGGCTCGCATCAGCCCTCGTAGCAGCAGGAGCAGACCCAATACATTGGCAGCAGGACCAGAACGGCATGCTACTCGGTAGGCCCTCGGGACATTTTCAATTTTCCTTTCTTGGGTTCAAGAGGATCATATTCAGGAAGATATATGGTTGAAGAGGATCATAGTTTCAACTAGCGGGCTTAAGAGGATCAAATTTCAGGAACATGTCTCAGAGGGCTTTATAGGGGCCCTCCTAGGCCATTCGCAACGCCCCTCTTGTGAGCGGCGTGTCACGGCTTCGACGGCATCCTGGAGCTCTTATTGGACTCACGGGCCGAGGTCGACCGGCGCCCCGCAATGAAACACGGGCGCAGGCACCCCACGGCGCTCCTTAGGGGTACTTGGAGATAAGCTGTATTTTGGGGCACTAGCATGCCTAAGAAACAGCAAAAGTGATAGTTTTTGCTGGGGTTCCAAGTTCAGTATAGGCTCATCATCGCTGCGGAGTGGAACAGGCCCTCGACTATCAAGCTTCTTCTTCGCCACGGGGCGGACCCTTCGAAGTTGACGGTGGAGCTCTTAAAACTTGTGTGCTGCTGCCTGGGCGTCAAGCGAAGCGGCAGCAAAGCCGAGCTGTCTGCGCGGGTGAAGCAGTGGCAGGACCGAGCTTGAGGTGTCTGTGAAATGGGCGGTGGCCTCGAAGGTTTGAGCCGCAAGAGTCTTCAGGGTTGGGGATCCAGTGCACTTGGTGATGTTTAGTGTTTCGGGCCCCCAAACCCAAAAAGCCCAAACTTTAAAGTCTGCTCCCTGACACTTTGCGCTTTGCGTGCCATGCTTTTGCAGAAGCTGCCCTCCTCCACCCCCCGAATCCAAAAAGTTGTGTTTGGGACTCGGGGGGTAGGGTTGGTTCTTGGGGTCGGAGAGCGTCAAATCTCTGCAGCCTTTGCCTACCAACCACTGACGAACGGCCTCCACTTGCTCGACACCCTCCGCCCGACTGAAACATCCCCGAAATCCTTAAGTTATGAAGCCCCAAGCCCTGAAACCGAAGGCCTACCCCAAAACCCCAAGCCCTAAACCCCAAAACCCCAAACCCCAAACCCCAAACCCCAAACCCCAAACCCCAAACCCCAAACCCCAAACCCTAAACCCCAAACCCCAAACCCTAAACCCTAAACCCCAAACCCCAAACCCCAAACCCTAAACCCTAAGCCCTAAACCCTAAACCCCAAACCGCAAACCCCAAACCCTAAACCCTAAACCCTAAACCCTATCTTAAACCCTCTCAGCGGCCGTGCCTGTTGCAAATCGCAGGTATCGACTCGTCTCTGAAGATGGGGGCGATGGAAGTGACGCCGCCCAGCTGAACTGAGGGGTTTAGGGTTTAGAGTTTAGGGTTTAGGGTTTAGGATTTATGGTCTTAGGGTTGAGGGTTTAGGGTTTAGGGTTTAGGATTTCAGGGGCAGCGCTAAAACTCTAAAACTCGAAAACCCTCAAGCCCTAAAACCCCCCAAACCCGAAAACCAGAAGAAACCAACGCGAAGATAGAAACCAAAGCTTAAAAGCGCTAAACCCGCGACCCTAACCCCGAGACCCTAAACCCGAAATCCTAAACCCTAAACCCTAAACCCGAAACCCGAAACCCTAAACCCTAAACCCTAAAACCCTAAGCCCCGCTGAGGATGTTCTTCTCCGACATCGCGTCCTTCACCACAATCGTGGAGAAGCTGCCCCCGGAGCATCTTTAGGGTCCCTAAGGGTTTAGGGTTTAGGGTTTGGGGTTTGGGTTTGGGGTTTGGGGTTTAGGGCTTGGGGTTTGGGGTTTAGGGTTTGGGGTTTAGGGTTTAGGGTTTGGGGTTTGGGGTTTAGGGTTTAGGGTTTAGGGTTTAGGGTTTAGGGCTCAGACCTTGAGCGCCAGGCCCCGAGCCCCGTGGCCCTTATCAAGAGCTCCTTATGAACACGAAGTCCTAAGCCCCAGCCCTCAGGGTTTAGGGTTTAGGGTTTAGGGTTTAGGGTTTAGGGTTTAGGGTTTAGGGTTTCGGGTTTAGCGTTTCGGGTTTAGGGTCCTTGAGCCCTCCGAGCCCCTGAAACCAAAATACGCCTAAGCCCTAAACCGCAAACGCACCACCCTAGACCCACCGTAAGCCCTAAAACCCATAGGCCCTAGACCCGAAACCCTACCTTAAATACTAGCCTTAAAATTCTAAACCATGAAAACCCTAGACCCAAATACCCTGAAACCCTAAACCCTGAAACCGTAAAACCTTGCAGGAGAGATCACTGGTGCTTCTGAGCCGCTACTTCAACGACATGTCGCAGGTCCTCGGGCTTGACGCGAGGGCACAAGTTTCGGGTTCCGCCCTAACCCCTAAACCCTACAGTAAACCCTAAACCCTAAACCCTAAACCCCAAACCCTAAACCCTAAACCCTAAACCCTAAACCCTAAACCCTCTCTCTCATACCCTGGCCCAGGGCTTGCACGATCGTGTCTTTCAGCCAACCAACCCAGAGCCTAAACCCTCAACCCAAAACCCCGTCATAAGCGCCTACACCCTAAACCCTAAACCCTAATCCCTAAACCCTGTACCCTAAACCCTAAACCCTAAACCCTAAACCCTAAACCCTATACCCTAAACCCTATACCCTAAACCCGAAACCCTAAACCCTGAACCCGAAACCCTGAATAAAACGTCGAAGCTCAAAGATCTTAAATCTTAGGGCCCGGCCAAACAACCATTCGAAGGGCCCCCCCAAAACAGCTAGGACGTAAAGCAGTAGGGAGGAGGGTTTTAGAGTTTGAGGTTCTTGGTAGCCACTGTAAGCCCCAAATTCCCTACACCCTGACCTCCCCAAAGCTCTAGTAAAACCTCAAAAATAGACCCAAACGGGTACGCGTCAGTGAGGGGGGGGGGACTTCAGTCTAAACCCTAAACCCTAGACCCTAAACCCTAAACCCTGAACCCACCCAAAACCCCAAACCCTACCATGCCAGGTCATTGATAGCCACGGCGGCATCGTGATTGCCCCTCGAATGTCATGACCTGGGCTGTCAGGGGGGGTTGTGAGCTTAGCCCTAAACCTAAACCCTCCTCCTTCCTAAAAACACAGAACATGTATAGATATTTTTATATTCGCACAAAATTCGAAAACAGGGCTGTTGTCTGGGCCAAATTCGGACACAGCCTTACCCCCAAAGGCCTAAACCCTAAACCACCCTGGACCCTAAACCCGAAACCCTAAACCCCTAAACCCCTAAGCCCTAAACCCTAAACCCTCAACCCTAAACCCTAAACCCTAAACCCTGAACCCCAAAAACCCTAAACCCTAAACCCTAAACCCTCAACCCTCAACCCTAAACCCCAATCCCTAAGCCGCCAAGCCTAGGAGTTCATTGGCGACGCCATCCTCTCTGTCTTCGGCGCTCCCCTGCGGAATCCGCAGCATGCCGAGGCCCTGGGTTTAGGGTTTGGGGTTTGGGGTTTAGGGTTTAGGGTTTAGGGCTAGGGTTTGGGGTTTAGGGTTTAAGGTTTAGGGTTTGGGGTTTGGGGTTGAGGGTTTAGGGTTTAGGGTCCAGGGGGCTTCGGGTTGAGGAATCAGGCTTCCGGTGTAGGGCTCAGGGACTCAAGCTTTGTTAGGGCTAAGCAAGTGAATGCACGTTTTGGGTCTCCCTATTCATACAGCCCGTGACAGTCTAGGGTGCCAAAAGGGGGGCCATACACTACTATTGCTTAAGAACCACCCAAAAACCCCAAGATATTCTTCCTTATAAGGGCAGTATAGGGATCATAACCTTTCATCTGTTGGGGGTTCTTCAGCAAATAGTAGTTTGTATGAACACTGACATGGGATTGGTTGGGCTTCGGGCATGCGGTTCATGGTTGGGGCATGCGGTCCATGGTTGATGGAACCTTGCGTCATCTTGATACGGGGCAGAAGCGCAGCAGCAATGCCTCACGAAGTAGCCATAGTTGCCAGAACCGTCAACCCTAATTCCGAAACCTTAAACCCTAAACCCTAGACTTTATGTATGGGATATACTGCAGTTCGTTACACGGAGTCGGTACCCATTGGGTTGCCTTGTTACGTTAACCGAACCTGCTAACGAGCCTGGTGTGCCTGAGCGGCGTCATCGACGAAGGACTCCACTACATTTTGGGGCCTCGAAGGGGTTTAGGGTTTAGGGTCAGGGTTTAGGGTTTAGGGTTTAGGGGTTTAGGGTTTGGGGAGGTCCCAATTTCTTGCAAGGTCTCCCTTCTCGACTTCAAGACAAGAAGCCGCAAACCCGATGCGGTTCCAGTGTGAGTTGAGGGTTGAGGGTTGAGGGTTGAGGGTTGAGGGCCGTCTCCACCCGAAACCTGAGACCCGAAACCTGAAACCCGTAAATCCGAAAATCACAAGCCCGTACACCCGCAAGCCATACACCCCACGCAATGAAGCCCATCGCGACTTCCGTGATGCAGCCCTAAACTCCGGATTTGTCAATGGCCACCCGGAGGCCCATATGTATTAACCAACTATACTTGTACTTATATCCCACGGTTTAGGGTTTAGGGTTTAGGGTTTAGGGTTTAGGGTTTAGGGTTTAGGGTTTAGGGTTTAGGGTAACCCACTCTTAGAAGCCCCTTAAGTGCCCTAACATGGTTCTAAGAGCAGTCATAGGCACACATAAATTAGGGCAATAAGTACCATGAACCTCCAAGTAGGGTTCAGCACCTGGGAGGCCTGTGTCAAGGCGACCATGAAGATGCTCAAGGCCAGAATCTGACCCCCCCCCCCCCTCTCCCCCTCCCGCCACCCAACCCCATAAGTTTAGGGTTTAGAATTTAGGGTTTAGGGTTTCGGGTTTAGGGTCACATGCGACCCCTCTCACCCCCCCCCCCCCCCGGCACCCCCAAACACCTTCTCAAGACCCCAACCGCATTCAGCCGACACCCTGAACCCCCTAAGACCCCAAGTACACCCTAAAACCCTGCGCCCTGCAAACCCTGCAAGCCCTGCAAACCCTGCAAACCCTGCCCTGCAAGCCCTGCAAGCCCTGCAAACCCTGCAAGCCCTGCAAACCCTGCAAACCCTGCAAGCCCTGCAAGCCCTGCAAGCCCTGCAAGCCCTGCAAGCCCTGCAAGCCCTAAACCCCTCAACCCCTCAACCCCAGACCCTAAACCCTAAACCACTCTTTCATATATAATATAAATGTTAATGGCTTTGCGGGCAAGGTCCGAAAATTAGTGGGCAAGGTCCGAAAATTAGCGGGCAAGGTCCGAAAATTAGCGGGCAAGGTCCG